GTGGCCAGTCTGGGCGACAGAGTGAGACTCCAACTCCAAAAAAAAAAAAAAAAAAAAATTTACAAAAACGAGCAGCATTCTCCTGTGATTCCAAGGCCCACTCTGTAGTGGCTGAGGTTAGGGGGCTGTGTGACTGGAGCAAAAGCATCCCAGGAAGGCCAAAGTCACGAGCAGTGCGTGTGCTTGGCGTACGTCTGAGTCTAGCTGGGCGGCTGTAACAAAATACCTTCAACTGGGTGATCTGTAAGTAATAGGTTATTGCTCATAGTCCTGGAGGTTGTGAAGTCCAACATCAAGGTGCCACTTTTGTGCCCAGAGACTTTTTTTTTGAGTTGGAGTCACACTCTGTCTCCCAGGCTGGAGTGCAGTGGCACACTCCCGGCCACCGCAGCCTTGACCTGCTGGGCTCAGGCAATCCTTCCGCTTCAGCCTTCTGAGTAGCTGAAACTACAGGCACATGACACCATGCCTGGTTAATTTTTTTTTATTTATTGTAGAGACAAGGTCTTGCCAAATTGCCCAGGCTGGTCTCAAATCCCCGGACTCATGCAGTCCTCTCACCTCTGCCTCCCAAAGTGCTGGGATTACAGACTTGAACCACCATGCCAGGCTTTTTTTCTTTTTTTTTAAGTCAGAGTCTCACTGTCACCCAGGCTGGGGTGCAGTGGCATGCTCTTGGCCACTGCAGCCTGGACCTGCTGGGCTCGGATGATCCTTCCAGGCTCAGCCTTCCAAGTAGCTGGAACCACAGGCACATGCCACCATGCCCGGCTAATTTTTTAATTTATTTATTGTAGAGATAAGGTCTTACCAAGTTTTCCAGGCTGGTCTTGAACCCCTGGACTCAAGCAATCCTCTCGCCTCCACTACCCAAAGTGCTAGGATTATAGGCATGAGCCACCATACCCAGCCTCCCCAGAGCCATTTTAACCCCTAAATAGCCCATCCGACCCAGGCACTCACGATTCCCAAGTGGGTATTCCCAGGGCTGCCTCTCTGCCAAGCGCCAGTGTTGAAGACTCATCCTTCTACTTAAATTACCTCCACCTGGAAGTCCAGTAGGAATCTCACACTCAACAGAGCTCAAACCGAATGAACTCACCCCCTGCAAATCCTTTCTTTCCCAAGTCTGTCCCATCTCAGTAAACGGCACTCACGTTTTCTCAGGTAGTAAAACCTGGTGTTTATCTTTGACTTCTTTTCCTCCTCACATCCAATCCATTGATACATCCTGCGGGCTCTAACTCTGAAATACGCTGGGCAAGGTGGCTCACACCTGCAATCCCAGCACTTTGGGAGGCTGAGGCAGGAGGATTGCTGGAACCCAGGAGCTCAACCATCCTGGGTAACATAATGAGACCTCATCTCTACAAAAAATCCAAAAATTAGCTGGGTATGGCAGTGCGTGCCTGTAGTCCCAGCTAGTTGGGAGGCTGAGGCAGGAGGATCTCCTGAGTCCAGGGGATTGAGGCTGCTGTGAGCCATGAGTGTGCCACTACACTCCAGCTTAGCTGACGTAAAACAAAACTTTGAAATGCAACAGAATTCAGCTACTCTTGAACACCTCCGTAGCTGCCCTCAAGTCCAAGGAGACCAAAATGGACTAGAACATTCCTATTCTGACCATCTGTGGTCATTCTCGGCTCTACAGTGATTTTTTTTTTTTTTTTAGTAGTCTTACTCTGTCACCCAGGCTGGAGTGCAGTGGCACGCTCATGGCCACCACAGCCTTGACCCGTTGGGCTCAGGCAATCCTTCCACCTCAGCCTCCCAAGTAGCTGCAACTATAGGTGTGTGGCACCACACCCAGCTAATTTTTTGATTTATTGCAGAGAAAAAGTCTCGCTAAATTGCCCAGGCTGGTCTCGAACCCGTGGGCTCAGGTAATTCTCTCACCTCAGCCTCCCAAAGTGCTGAGATTACAGGTTTTAGCCACTTTGCCCAGCCTAAAATCTGTTTTACTTAAAGTCTATATGCATAAAACATGAAAATACAGTTGTCACTAAGCATTAAAAAGGATGATCAAAAATCTTCTTGGTGTTTTTCTGTATTTTTCCAGTTTTTCCTTGCAATAAATCTGCACTGCTTTTGTAATCAGAAAAAAAAGGAAGGGGAAGTTCAGGAGTAAATGTGACAAGTAAATTATGAAATGCTGAGTCCCTGGCAAAGTACTTTACCCCAAGACTGCTGACTGCCCCCCTTAAACCTCACACCACTATGGCAGTGGTGTTGTTTGGGTACCCGGACTTTAAATAAAGGCTGAGAGGAACATATATTAAAAGTCAGCATTTCTGGCCGGGCTCGGTGGCCCAGCCTGTCATCCCAGCACTTCGGGAGGCCGAGACGAGTGGACTGCCTGAGCCCACGAGTTTGAGAACTGCCCAGGCAACTTGGCGAGACCGCGCCTCTACAATAAAGCAAAAGTTAGCCGGGTGTGGTAGCACATGCCTGGAGTTCCGGCTACTTGGAAGGCTGAGGCGGAAGGATCACTGGAGCCCAGCAGGTCGAGGCTGTGGTGGCCGGGAGCGTGCCGCTGGCGACAGAGTGAGACTCCAACTCAAAAAAAAAACAAAAACAGCCAGCCTCGGTGGCTCAGCCTGTAATTCCGCGCCTTTGGGAGGCTGAGGTAAGTGGATTGCCTGACCCAAAAAACAAAAAAGAAAACAAAAAAACCTCAGCACGCCTAACAGTTGCTCAATCTCAGCTCCACAATTTACTAACTGTGTAGGGCCTCCTTATCTGTAAAGTGTAATCAAAGGATCCCACTCACAGGAATGTCGAGGTTTCCGTGAATTAACACCTACTTCATCTGTAAGAAGACTCAACATGCAGCAAGTACTGTGAGCACTGGTTATTACTGCTCTCTCCCAAGCAGAACTGTTAGAAGGCATCACACTTTGGTTACAGAAATAAACGTCTTCGGGAGCAAGATGGCATTCATGACAACATGTAAACGTTTTGTACATCATCACGAGAACAGATGATATTTTTTCCCAACACAGATTATTTATCGATCACTTAGCAGCCCTCAAAGTTCCAATAATAAGGTCTCTGTCATCCTACATAAGCAGAGAAAGAAGAGACAGTGTTATGGGGAAGTTTCCATCCCACAGGCCTCTACCGGTGTGAGAAACAGGCCGAGACCCACATAGAAGACCCATCACCATCAGGAAAATGGCCATGCGCTCACAGCCTGGATACAACTGAGGCAGGTTATGCAAGTTGTTGAACCAAAACAACCAACATTTTGAATCTAGAACTTTAATGCGCCCAATGGTACAAGTTGCCAGAAACTAGATACCACTTTTCATCTTGAACCTTTGGAAATCCTCATACTCTTACAAGTACAAAATGAAACCAACAAGAACATATTCCTGATGATTTTAATTTATAAAACAGATTACATGCTTCATGGGCAGAACCAAAGATAAAACCTTCAGTAGCTTACTTTGTGTTCACAGTTATTACACAAGGCCCGCGTATAAACACTACCTGAAAACATAATACATTTTTGTAAGAGGAAAAATAAATATTAAACTAACAAAAGCTCACAACCATTCAACAATTCTCAAACAGATATTCATCGAAATGAGGTAAGTCTAATGTGTCATTTCCTAAAGAAGTTAGTGCTGAGGTGGAGAAAAACTCATCGAAAATATCAGTCTTCGTGGGACTCTCCAAGGTCAACGTTCTAATGCCGGCGTCGTCTGTTAAGGAGCTGGGCTGAACGTCACATGGACTTCTCTTGGTGGGGCTACAGTAGTCGTGATCCTGTCTCAGATGGGTGTCCTGGGAAATGCCGTTCAGCTCCCCAGGTACCGGGGCCGGGACCTGGCTATCACCCATTTCCAAATACCTCAAGTCAGTCTCCCCGTCCTCTGAGAGCTGTGTTGAAACGACAGTCGCAGGAGACAGTAACTCTGCTAAGATCTCCTCATGAGCCTGACTAGTGTATGGGGAAACGCCAGGAACTGCGGCACGTCCAGACTTTTCTGCAAGACGGATCTGACACTGCAGCTCGTTTAACAAGTCTTCTATTGAGTCACACTCATTTGGGGACCCACCATGGGGCACGTGTTCCGAACTCTCACTTGGAAGTGCTCTACTTTGGGGGGAAGACATAAGAGCAGCTAGTTTCTTCTTTTTCGCCTTCAGTTTTTTCAGAAGTTTCAGACGGAGTTTATGAATCTGACCTTCCACCAAGTCTCCCTGGTTTGATGAAGGAACACCGTTTTCGTTTCCTTGAGAACCGTGGTCAGGGTGCGCGCCGTGAGGGGCGCCTTCGTCCTTCCTCGGTGCGTCTGAAGCAGCACCGGACGGCGGAGGCCCTGGCGGGAGCTTGCTGACCAGAGGGGCCTTCCCCGCATGCCTGTGCACATTCTTGGATGCCCGCCCAGCCTTCTGGTTGCCGCCTTTGGTCTTAAAGCCCCCAAAATTACTTGCCCCTTTCACTGAAGGCTGCAGGTCAGCTAGGGTGGTTCTGCTGGGAGCGGAAACACAAGATGGCATGAAGGAGGCACCCCTGCTTAGCAAGCCTTTAACCCAACTTCCCACAAATGGTTTTTTCTGATTTTCTCTCACAGACTGACTCTGTAAAGACTCAGCTGTCCTGGCTGGAGGATCAGCTGCCGTTTCTTTTCGCTTCAGGTTACAGATCTGAGACGGGACGTGCTGCTCTGGCCTCCACTTCTCAGTTTGGGGTGTAAGGAACTGTTCTCCCGACTCTGCTCCCTGAGTAAGACCGGCAGTGTGAACGCGAGCCACGGATTTGGTGGCCATGGTGTCTTCTGCGCTCAGGGGTCCTGCCAGCGTGTGCACATGTAACACCTGAGACGGAACGCTTCTGCCCACTAACTGCTCGTAGGTAAGCTTTTCCTCACACGGAGCTGGTGCTGAAGAAACCAAGAGTGATGCCGGTGACCGCAAAGTATTTCTTTCGACAATTCCAGTATTCTCTGACACAGGCTTATTTTCTAACAGGAAAGCTTCCGAGTCAAACTGACAAACAGAGGCACTTTCCTGGGTAGTGCCTTCAAATGTCAAAGGTAAAAAACCGTTGGCACCCAAACCTCGAGGGCCCGCAAGCGAGTGATCTCCGCAAGCGACAGCCCCGTCCTGTGGGCGCGTGGAGGGAGCACGGGCCGCACACGGAGGGCGATGCCCCGAGGACGTCTCAGCCGAGGCGGCATCGCCCACAGGACCTGCCGCTGAAGATGCTGGCTCCCCGCCGCTGAGCGCGTGCTGACCGTTAGTCTTTCCAAGAGGTAGACGGGCTGCTTCCTGATGTGTCCCTTGGGATGCTCTCCTCTCCCAAAGGACGATATGAATCTCGGAAGCAGGAACTTCAAACGTCTCGTGCCTGCGAGAGCACGGGCCTCTCAAGTCGTCACATTCTAGCCAACTTCCTGAGGGATGAGGAAAGAAAGTGAAGAAGGTCAGGCTCTCCAGACCCACCGCCCAGGTGAACTCTCCTCTGGCCTTTGACGCTGCATCATCAAGACTACCCACCAGAAGAGAACGTGGTCCGTCCCTGTTGCCGCCCTTCCCTGCCAAATGTTGAAGACCTCATCTGGATAACAAATGTTATGGGCCAGCACACTCAGAAATTTGAGAACTTTCCTAAAAAACCCACGGAAATCAAAACAGAGTATATGTAACTTTGGGGACTTAAAAACATAGTACTGCCTACATTATCCACCACCACCAGAGAAGAGGAAGTTGATCCCCATCTATGAATTCTCAAGATAAATGAAGCTGGTTCTCTCAACTGCCAACATGTGCTTTAACTCCTGTTTTCTTTCTGAGCTTCTGGTTTCACTTCGGTCAGGTGAGAATGAGAGGATGAGAACAAGGGAAGAGTTTGAGGACAAGGAGTTGTCCACAAGTGGAACAGGATGTGGGAACATGAAAATCCTTCGTAATGCTGGTGGGAACGTCAAACGGTATGGTTGCCATGGAAACCGTCGGGCCATTCCTAAGTCAAACACAGAATTCTGAGACCCAGCAATTCCACTTGCAGTAGAGGCTAAAAAGACCTGAAAGCAGGGACTCAAACAGACACTTGTCCACCAATATCCACAGCAGTACTCTTCACAGTAGCTAAAGGTGGGAGCCACTCACCATCCACCAACAGGCTGAGACACAGACAGAATGAAGTTCTGCTGTGTGCTACAGCGGGGATGACTCTGAAAGCACGTGAAGTGAAACACACCAATCACACAGTAGGATTCTGCTTACAGGAAGTATTCAGAACAGGCAGATGCACAGACAGAAAGTAGAATCGTGGGGATCAGGGACTTGGTGGCCAGGATGGGGACTTATGTCTATTTGGGATGATGGAAAGTTCTGGAATAGATGGTGGTAATGGGTGTACTCAATGCAATCAACTGTGCACAGGAAAATGTAAAAAGTGTAAAAATGGTAAATTGCATGTTATGTATATTTTACCACAACAAAAGCATACAAACTGGAAAGCAGGCTGAGAATTACAGAAAGGTGGCCAGGTGCTTCCAGGTGATGTGGGGTTCTGGAAGGTGGACTTAAGAGTATACTCACGGTCACATGATGATCTGGGAAAAGCTAACCACACTTAGGTAAGCAACAGTTTTTACATAATCAGCAATTATCTGTACTTCCTTTACAGATTTTCCAAAGCAATCTACAGACCCACTATACATACCATTATCTACATATCCATGAAACAGATACAGATACAGAAAGCACAGTGTCATGGCAACTATGCAAAGCAAGTAGGAAGCTCTCTCTACCTCAATAAAACCAAAACATGACAAAAAAGGCCCAACACAGACTTTTTATTTTTTTTTTTGAGTCGGGAGTCTCACTCTGTCGCCCAGGCTGGAGTGCAGTGGCATGCTCATGGCCACCGCAGCCTCAACCTGCTGGGCTCCGGCGATCCTTCCAACTCAGCCTTCCAAGTAGCTGGAACTATAGACGTGTGCTACCACACCCGGCTTATTTTTTTATTTATTGTAGAGATAAGGTCTCACCAAGTTGCCCAGGCTGGTCTCAAACTCCTGAGCTTAGGCAATCTTCTCGCCTAGGCCTCCCAAAGTGCTGGGATTACAGGCTTGAGCCACCAGGCCCAACCCCCAACACACACTTTAAAAAACATTCTCCAAAGGGAAAAATTAAGATATTGATCAAAATGTAATATTTGATACAAACAAAGCAAACTGAGAGCCGAAGTCACATAACAGAATTATGAACTCCCTGACAGTTAAGTGGTAAAAAAGGAAAACAAAATACACTCAGAGGTCTGCTAACCGCCCCCACATACACACAAAATACACTATGCACTGAGAATGTGGGTCATATGGACACGCCCTCACCAGCTCCTTGAACCTGCTATTCTCATTCCACATCCAGTTAAACTTTGAGAAGCTTCTGTTTGCTTAGTCAGAGGTTCTCTACCTCACATGCACATTAGAATCACCTGGGAGGTTTTTAAAACAATATCGCCATGGCTGTGCCTGCAGTCCTAGCTACATAGGAGGCTGAGGCAGGAGGATCACTCAAGCCCAGGAATTCAAGGCCGGCTTGGAAAACATACTGAGTCCCCCATTCCCCCAAAACTGATTAAACAATTAAACCACCAAAATATCCCAATATTGATATTATTCTGCCTTTAAAAGAATGAAATTCTGCGATATGCTACAATCCGCCAAATTGACTGACTGGTCTATAGTAGTCTGAAAATTTGCATAAGCTAACCAAATGATTCTTGCATGCTGTCAGGGTTGGAAACCATGCTGCACTTGAAGTGAATGTATCATTCTTGAAGAATGCAGCATAAAATTAAAATAAGCTGATTTGTGTTATTAAGAACTACTTCTGGCTGGGCGTGGTGCCCCATGCCTGCAATCACAGCATTTTGGGAGGAGGCGGCAAGAGAACTGCCTGATCCCAGGGGCTCCAGACCAGTCTAGGCAACTTGGAGAGACCTCGTCTCCACAAGAAATAAAAAAAATTAGCTGGGTGTGGTGGCACATGCTTATAGGTCCAGCTACTTGGAAGGCTGAGGTGGAAGGATGGCCTAAGCCCAGCATATTGAGCTGAAGTGGCCATGAATGTGCCACTGCACTCCAGCCTGGGTGACTTACTGAGACTCTGACTCAAAGCATAAAAAATAAAAAAAAGAGAACTGCTTTCACTCAAGTCAGAAACAGGGCAAAACTTTAGGGCAAAACTTTAGGGCAATAATTACATATGTAATGTGAGTTTCCATTTGTAAAGTGCTTTTTTGATACAGTATTGTGTTACCCATCCAAACCAATCCTGGGAAGAAAATATCAAATATAAAATGTCCTAACAATACACAGTGGTTCTATCGAAGAGCCCTTACCACGGTCTGATACCATACTTTAAGGGGATCACGTTATCTTGTCTAAGACAGAGTGAACGCTACAATGGAAACAAACTCAGTATCAAACCACACCAGACACCTGGAAGGGAATCAGTCCCAAACCCAATGAGCCTTACACAGCCCTCTACTGAAAGCTTCCTGTATTTAAATAAAGGCTTTACCTTGATTGTACTTGTTGGCAAGCTATGATTTCAGACCATCTATTTCACAATGACAGAAGGGCTACACGGTCTGATCATTAGTCTTAGAAACAGATGCTTAAAAGAAAAAAGCAAAGATGTTAAAGGGAAAAACAATAGTATAGAATCCCATCCTTTGTCTAAAAAAGAAACAGGCACGTGCATATTTGTATATCAATATGTGATATAAGAAAAGGGAAAAAGCTGGGCTCGGTGGCTCAGCCTGTAATCCTGCGCCTTTGGGAGGCTGAGGTGAGTGGATTGCCTGAGCCCGCAGGTTTGAGACCCGCCTGGGCAACTTGGCAAGACCTCATCTCTACAATAAATCAAAATGAGCCGGGCGTGGTAGCGTGCGCCTGTAGTTCCGGCTACTCGGAAGGCTGAGGCGGAAGGATCGCTGGAGCCCAGCAGGTCGAGGCTGCGGTGGCTGGGAGCGGCCACTGCACTCCAGTCTGGGTGACAGAGTGAGACTCCAACTCAAAAAAAAAAAAAAAAAGAAAAGAAAAGGGAAAAGTCAGGACGGACTCTAAAACCACAAACCTCAGAATAGGAGGGGAGGGGAATTAAAGACAAGAACAGGGAGAAAAAGTCAGGGCAAAGTCTGCCTTAACAAAAACAAAACAAAACAAACTAGAGTGTGGTTTCCAAGCCCAACAACATAAAAGAAAACCTTGGATCGCTTACCATCAGCATCTGCAGTCCATGTTATAAAATGGTTATTGGCCTGGTACTGAATTACAGACGTTATCCGGTAAAGACAGCCTTCCAAATGGAACGCGTAGCGCTGCAAGTCACCGTGCGGCAAGCCCTCCACGAAGTGCAGCATGAACAGGGGAGAGACCCTGTGGGAGACGGGCAAGAGAAACAAACAGATTTAAGGCCATGTGTCCGGTGCTGCAGAAGAGGGTCTGAAACAAACGATCGCAGGTAACACTTTTGAGGCGCACTGCACTTGTTTCTCCTGGGCGCCTCCAGATGTGTGCCTTAATTAAGAGAGAAGCACTCACTCTAAGAAGTGCCTAACGCTAACCCCTTCCCCAATGCTAGCCCCAACCGTTGGAAGCAACAAGCAGTAGACTCTACACACACCATTAAGCAAACATGGCTCTGTAAGTGGCAAGGCTGCTTTGGCTTAGAGAAGATTTTGTGGCAGCTACTTTGTAGAATCCATGAGAAAAAAATCCAGACCTTTTAGAATTTTAGAGTTTGGCATCAAGCACCCAATCTAATTGCTTTTGTTAAGTAGGGTTGGTAGCATGTGACACAAAGCAGCAAACCTAAGATATTCACATACATGCTCATCTGGCTGATTTCTCTCAGCTATCTCAGGAAGCAAAGAGGTCTACTAAATTAGAATTTCTACCAGCAAAAGTTTAATTTGTAAGCAGAGGAAGAAATACAACATGCTGGCCCATTTACTATAAACTTCAAGACAGCCATAATTTCAAGAATCCCTTTTACCATTACAGCAACATTCTGAACCAGAAAATAGAACCCAGAGATACGCATCAAGTAACTAAATTTAACAAAGCTCCCAGGATTTAAGAAAAATGTTGAATATTCCTTTCACCAATATTTAAACAGCTGTCAAAACTTACTTATTTTATCAAAATTTATTCAGCTGAAATGAACTTGAATCAATGTCCAAACTGTGGATTATTCAAACTGACGGGGGATAATTTATAAATTACTCCTTGTCAATCATTTTATTAGCGAATAAGCAAGTCCTCAAAATTTAAGTACCTACAAATAAAAAGTCCTGCAAATTGTCTATAACACTAAATTCTCATTTTTTAAATCACATCTATTTCATCGAATCTAAAATGTCACTGATCACAAAATGTAGCACTATGAACACACACTGCCAATTAAACTATACCATGCCATCAATTTCATGTGTTCCGTTTCAGGCATGCTAAAATATGAAGTGTATGTTTTTGAATCAGTGATCCACAGTAAAATCCGAGATGTAATCTCACAGCTTTAGGACATGCAGGCTTTAGGTACTTGCCTCAATCAATCTTTAATTACTAAGGATCACTAATTGATTAAAAGTAATCAATCTTTAATCACTAATATTTAACTCCCTTGGCTCCATACAGTACCTTTCAAGATATCCTCTGAGGTTGGTTGCTAAAATAATCTCTTGCTGATCCCGAGACTACAAAATCTCACTAGTTTCCTGCCTTTGTGTACACGTGGAAAATATTTTAAGACGTACGTATTAATATGACAGAATAATGTATGTGTAAAACCACCTGACACAGCACTATGCTTTTTGTATACACCAAGTCTTGTAAACGATTCATTTGCTAATTAATAAAAGTAAAAACTGACAAGACCAAAACCCACACTCGGCGCACTTCCTCAGATGCAGAAGGTACTCAGACCCCAGGTGAATGCAAGTACACTACCTGAGCAAACAAGAAATGACTTGTCAGAAACCCCGGGAGCCTGCTTGGAGAGCCAGATGGGGCAGGTATTTGACTTTTTTATCCAGCAAAAGGAGGACAACAACGAGAACAATTATATAAACTTTAAAACATGCTGTTAAGCACCCTGGCCTGTAGTAAGTCACCCAGGGTCTGATGTGGAAGGAGACAAGGCAGATCGAATTGAAATGGGTTTTACCACCATCTCACCTGGATGGAAGCACAGCCTTCGGAGTGTCCTCAGACCGCCTCCTGCAACTACGAGATTTGTGAATTCCAGTGCTTTTCTGTATGCTAACATGCCTGAGACTGGGATGCACCTTGTCACTGATGGCACAGAGTGAAGCAGGCAGCTTTTCTTTTGTAATGGCATATTTAAAAAACAGGGCAACGTAAACCATGGTGTCTTGGAGTCCGTTAAATCACATGCGTCCCTCCCTTTCTTGTTCATTTTCCTCCGTGGCTCCCTGGACTCGCGTGTCCCCAAGGCGTCACCACTTTCTCCTACAATTCCAGTTTGCCTCATTTCCAGCCTCTCAGGTGAGGAACTTTCCTGAGGTTTTGTTCTTAGCCTTCCCCCCGACCAGCAATTCTTGGCGAGTTTGTTTAAGATAAGACCCAGAGCTAAGGAGGGCAAGTCGGGTTCGGCCTCAGGCACAGAAAGCCTAGATGGAACGAGTGACCAGAACCGTAACCAGAGTGAACAAGAGATTTCCAGCTAGGGTCCATTCACATCTACCTACCATGGAGTCCAGCGCCTCCAGGGACCAAGATTGCTCCTCAAGAGGGGACAGAAAGACACACAGGGAACCCGCTGACCTGCTGCCCAGAGATGGCAGAGGAGTCCACGACCCTGTCCTAGAGTAGCCACAGCCTGTGCTAATAATGGCCTGCAGTACGAGTTTTATAATTTTCACCCCAACTCACATAGTAACTCATATTTTAGAAGGTGCAAATTAACCATGTGCATATACAGAGTACGTCAGAACTATCACAGCACAGGCTTTAGGCCGCAACAATTCTGCAAATGCGATTTCTAGACCTTTCTCATTTTAGATCTATCGTATCATTGTCTGACATTTCAGACTGACAAAAAATAAAGGAGTACGATCAGCTATAATTAAAATCATTAGAACTGGTTCATATTACTTATAACAAGAAAATACATCTTTAGAAAATTTAGCAGTTCAACACAAGTTTACAAATTGTTCTTTGGAGGTAGTTCAAGGATTCTGTAAACACATAATAAAGCATTTTCTGTCTAAAAACGAGGGTTTAAATTAAGGAACATAATTTTATTCTGAGAAATCCTGAACTTTAAAAAAAAGAAATGTAAGTTTAACTATTTTATATATCAGTATTCCATTCAAAACTTTCTGGGGAAGGGTGGAGTTTATCTGTTTTTACCAAAGGCAGTCTCAAAATCATTTCATCAACCATTTTTATAAGCTCTATATGCACAGGGCAGAAAGGTCTTATTTCTCTTCCTGCCACTCCCCTATCCTTTACAAATAGTTATTTAATAAATCATTGTTAAAACTGAAGCTTAAAAAAATACGCTTTTCAAATGCCCACCTGTGATAATATTATGTCCAGACTCCTACAGGAGATGGTAGCTGTACCCTCTTAGGAGCTTATCCTTGGCCCGGGCCTGCTGTTGTTTTATTAGATCTGTTACAGGCAGTGGCTCACGCCTGTAATCCCAGCACTTTGGGAGGCGGAGGCGAGAGGACTGCCTGAGTCCTGGGGTTCAAGACCAGCCTGGGCAACTTGGTGAGACCTCGTCTTCACAATAAATCACAAAATTCACAGGGGGGTGTTGGTACGTGCCAGCTAAGGAAAACTGACTCTAAGTTCTCGGTGCCCCACGTCGCCATGCTGTGAACGTTAGTAACCCTCAACAACTTACTTAGAGCAAGCAGCAGGCTTGGACTTGCTAGGCATCCGAATCTGTTCTTTCTCTAACAGAGAACACTGGAGACATGGATTATCTAAGACAAGGTGTCCAGGGAACTTTATCAGTTTTTAGAATCAGTATGATTTAATTACAAATGCTATCACGATGGACATAATTACTTTTAAGTTATCCCTAAAAACTGTATTAAATTTTTTTCTAGATTCTGTTAGATCAACAAATCAAGTTGAACACATTTCAAAGTAAAAAACCACAAAGGACTTATATAAAGACCTTGTCGTTTAAAATTTAAGTGACATTTTACATGCTAGCTCAATTTACTTTTGAAGAATATGAGAAACGTGGGATCATAAATCCCACTTCTGAAGTGGCCCACAGGAACTCAGAACGTATTTTCTGCTCAAATGCTGTTTTACCTAATGGGTCCATTTCCAGATCAGAGCATGAATCATTAATGTAACTAAGGCAACATATTTGTGTAATTAAAAAGTATATGTTGCAATGCAGCCAATTAACAGATCAAACAAAACAACAGCAGGAGTCTATCATTAGTTCTGGGCCAGGGATAAACAGCCGAATGAAACCCAGGCCCCCAGACCAGGGAGGGACCGCAGACTCCACGCCTGCCACCTTCTCCCACTTCCTTGTGACAAAAGGGCTTAAGAAAAGGTTCCTCACCACTCCAACCTCAAAGCCCTGACAGCCGCTAGCCGAGGCAGATTACAGACTTCTGGTTAGACATACCTGCACTCAAATTCTTTTTTTTTTTTTTTGAGTAGGAGTCTCTCTGTAGCCGTCTGGAATGCAGTGGCACACTTACGGCTGCCGCAACCTTGACCTGCTAGGCTCAGGCAATCCTTCCACCTCAGCCTCCCATGTAGCTGGAAATACAGGCACGTGCCACCATGCCCAGCTAATTTTTTGATTTATTATAAAGACGAGGTCTCACCAAGTTGCCCAAGCCAGGCTGGTCTCGAACCCCCGTACTCAGGCAATCCTCTTGTCTCTGCCTCCCAAAGTGCTGGCATGACAGGCGTGAGCCACCACGCCTGGAACTCTACTCTAGCCGGGCTCGGTGGTTCAGCCTGTAATCCCGCGCCTTTGGGAGGCTGAGGTGAGTGGATTGCCTGAGCCCGCAGGCTCGAAACCCACCAGGGCAACTTGACGAGACCTCATCTCTACAATAAATCAAAAAATCAGCCGGGCGTGGTAGCGCATGCCTGTAATTCCGGCCACTTGGAAGGCTGAGGTGGAAGGATCGCCGGAGCCCAGCAGGTCGAGGCTGCGGTGCCCGGGAGCAGCCACTGCACTCCAGTCTGGGCGACAGAGTGAGACTCCAACTCAAGGAAAAAAAAAAAAATTCTATCAAACGATAGTGAAGGGCAGAAAAGGCCCTCATTCAAAAGGACAAACACAGGGAAAGGCAACACGAGCAAGTAAGAGGTCAATAGACACTGAGGAGACACAAAACCAACAGAAGCAGCACCGTGCTCTGCATAATAGATGACATCAGTGCCATAGAGGAGGCGTGCAGATGAGAAAGGAGAGTTCATTTGTCTCAGAGAACCCCTAAAAGACTGGTGTTTATGGACAACAGATGTGAAATGCGGGGAGGAGGTCCTGGGCTAGAAGTCAGGATGGTGAGAGAAAGCGTCTGCATCATGAAGGGCAGGCACCTGTGGCACTGCCCAGAGAGACAGGGAGGTTGAAGCACAGGTCCAGAGGTGGCAGGAGAGAGGTTTTCAGAAAAGAAGGGGAGGAGGAGGGATGCAGACACTGCCACGCATGTGGGTGTTGGCCATTTATTATCAGTGAGTGTTTAATTAAGCATCTGGACAACACTCAGGAGAGCATCATAGACCAAGCAAGTGAAAACACAAAGCAGACCGTCATTCCAGGAAAAATAAAGAATCATAAAAGAAATGGAACATAGCCAGGCATACTGCCCAGCCAAAGAGGGAATAACGTATGTATGTGAATGGCTGGGTTAACGAATATGCAATCACCCGAGAGGCCCAAAGCGATTGAACGGGAAAGCCTGGTCCTCAACCGCCAGACAGGAGAGCATGCTGCCTGACATGTTGAAGGAAACACTACCTGAATCTGAAGGTTGGAGTACCTGCTGGGGGAGGGGGCGCTGTCCCTTTTTCCTTTTAAGCTTTTTAGCACTGTTAGTTCAACTGAGAAAGTATTACTTTGATGAGAAGAAGCCTTTAGGAAACATTCTGAGGGGTTTCTGGCACATTCAGGGGCATCAGAGGATAAAGTAATTGGCTCTTGATCACATCAAATTACCTTCAATACCTCCTTAATGGAGAGAAGATTGACAAGAAGGTTCAGGAGGCTATGTCCACGTGTGAGTGGATTACCGAGAGCCAACTGCTTGAGGCACAAGTGACCCGTGAGTTTAGAGATGAGCTTCCAGTGACAGTGGGAGAGGTAACTGACCAGCTTTCTCAGCGAGGACAACCAGGAAAGCTAGCAAAACACAATGAAAAGGCATCTGCCCAAGGGCAGCAAGAAGCTCACAGAGGTGATGGAGAAGAAGCAGGCTGAGATCTGGGAGAAGATGGAGATGCAGACAGGTGAGCCCATGGCTCATCTCGGTCATCTTAGTTCTAGAAACTTGATTAAGGAAATCCCAGAATTCAAATGACGCCAGGCACTTGGCAGAGGAGGGAAAAGGCGAAGATTAATACCCTTAAAGGAAGAGAAAAGGCAAAAAGACACGAGGCGAGTGGGGCCCAACACCTGGACAGAGCCAGCCCTTGGGTGGCGCGTCATCGGGATGGCTACTCATTGATCGGAGCTCTGAGGAGAGGCAGCTGGCAGTTCAGAAATGTACATCACCTTGCAGTTCAGGCTGTAGACACCATTTTCAATTCTATACGTATTTTTAAAATGTAAGTCTACTTTTGTTTTGCTCTGAAAATTATAAATTTTAACTCACTTTTTCAATACCATTTTTCTTATTTGTGATTTACTGCTGCAATTGTTACATGGACCGAAATGGGCAGCATTAAGTGGATGCCACTCAGGGATGACATTTGTAAAGGTGACCAGACTCTTCAGACACCTGCAAAAAAAGAAGACATAACACATTCACTTATGTTAAACACACTTCCACAAATTTAAACCAATGTCTACAGTAAAATTAAGCATCCCTCCAAGTGTTTACACTCTCCAATTCCCCAAACCCTATGTTCCTATGCCAACGTTCCTCCCTAACCCCAGTAAAGAAGCTCTTCTCAACATGATGAAGCAGAAAAGAAAAAAAAGGTCTCTGCAAAGATACGCCACACCAGTCACCTACAGTTTCTCAGCCATGAGATGAAGAAAGAACACGTGGAGGGCAAGGTTTCTCAACAGTTCCACTGACACTGGGCACTGGATCATTCTCACTGTGACGCCCTGTCCGGAGCACTATGGGAAGGTCAGCTTCATCCCCGTGTGCCATCCCTACACGCCAGATGCCAGCAACAATCCCTAGTGGCAGCGACCAATGTCTCCAGATGCTGCTAACTGTCCTGGGGGCCTGAACAGCTCCCAGCTGAAAACCACTGTGCTCAGGTTGTCAAGTTGATCGAACATTCATCTCTGACTCCAATCACTCAACCTGGCTGGCCATTACTGACAATTCAAAGTGAAAAGAGTGTTTCCTTAAAAATAAATCACGGTATCAGTGTGAAAGAGTTTTATTTTCACAGGTTGTCCAAGTTCTAAATTTGCACTTTAGTCTATATACTTAATAGCAATAGCATCTAAAAAGATGAGCTTTAAAGATGAATACTAAGCCTTAATTGTATCCACTTTAATAAAAATGGTTTAATTAAAAGAACAGTTATATATTATCAAAGAGACACAAGCTTCTTTTTTAAACAGTAACAAATATTGACATATTCTAAGTGACACAGCATTGACTGCTAAAAACAGATCAGCTGTCAGGGAAGTTAACACTTTATTTTATTTTTTACTTTTGAGTTAGAGTCTCACTCTGTCGCCCAGGCTGGAGCACAGTGGCATGCTCACAGCCACCCCAGCGATGACCTGCTGGGCTCCAGTGATCCTTCCTGCCTCAGTCTTCTAAATAGCCGAACCACAGGCATGTGCTACCACGCCCGACTAATTATTTATTTATTTATTGTAGAGTCGAGGTCTCGCCAAGTTGCTCGGGCTGGTCTCGAACCCGCAGGTTCAGGTAATCCACTCGCCTCGGCCTCCCAAAGTGCTGGGATTACAGGCTGAGCCACTGAACCCAATCAAGTTAACACTTTAAAAGCAAAGCAGGTTGGGTGCGATGGCTCACATCTTTGAGAGGCTGAGGTGGAGGGCCACTTGAGCCCAAGAGCTCAAGATCAGGCAGGGCAACATAGTGATACCCTGTCTCTACAGAAAATTTAAAAAATTAGCTGGGCGTGGTGGTACATGCCAATAGTCCCAGGTACTTGGGAGGCGGAGGCAGGAGGAACACCTGGGCCCAGGAATTCGAGATTACAGTGAGCCGTGATGGTACCACTGTCCTCCAGTCTGGGAGACAGAGTGCGATTTTGACTCCATCGATCCATCGAAGCAAAATAAAGGAATCAACAAACACACTGACTGTACTTCTAAATTCTTCATTTCTCAAAGATAGTTATAAGTAAAGGCTCCTACTTTTTAGTTTATAAAAGGGAGCTTGTGTAAGCAAGCAAGACACCCAATGCTTCCGAGAACTTACTAAAGGCAAGGCAGGCACAGTGCCAGGCAGTCATCTTCCAAACACTGAGGGGCGATGCTCTTCTCAGCCCCTTCTTACGATTAAGGACACTGAGATACCGAATGGGGTGGCAGAGGACGGACTTTGGTTCTGAATCCAGGAAGTCTGCCTCCAAGACCATGTGAACCGTCTCCAGGATACACTCTGCACTCAAGTAAGAGCCCCTAAACCAGCACTGAAACAGCAGCACAGAAACTAACGGGTTTGCTGGACAGTCTTCCTTTAGTGTCAGTGGAAGCCAGTTTTCAGTTATGACATATTAAAACCTATTTCATGAAATGCCGCTTCATTTGAGCTTTTCCTCTATAGCTTTTATTTTTAGAACAAAGGCTATTTAAAAAAAAAAAAGCAGCCCCAGTGGCTGACAACCTGTTTCCCTTGAGTCTCTCTCTCCTTCCACCTCATAAGGAGATGCGCTTCTCACCATGTAAGACAACATAAGGCAGCAGGGAGACCAACTCATTGGCCCTGCCTAATGTGCTCACGTCCCTAGCCCTGCCCTATGTGCTCTCATGTGACCTCCCTAAAGAACTAGGCTGAACCTGGCCAGGACAGACCCCATTTCCAGAGCCCAGACGAGTTCCTGGCACACGAAACACACTCAGGGAGAAACTGAGAAGCGCTTGAGATGTGGATTCTAGTCTCTCTCATTAAGCTGCTTTTAATGATATGACTCAACACAGGCAGCAATGGCGGAGGACACCACAGCGAGCAAGAAAGCCTCCATGGGACATCTGAGCCGGCCACCTCCCAGTGTGTCCCTCTGGGCCCTGGCCTAGCCCCTTGCCAGCTTGATTGTCCACATTTGTCCAACGAAGATACTAGGGCGGTCCTGAGTACCAGCGAGGAGAAAGCCGGTGATCTCTAGAAGTCCGTGATGGAAACCCTGGAGGTGGGCATCTGCTCCCACGCTCACCTGCTTACACTCAATGCCTCAGGTCACAGGTACAAGCCACACATAACTCCTGCCCCTGCCCTGCCCTGGTGGTCCTGAGTTAACTGAGAAAAACACAAACGCCCTCTGCTTGCTCCTCCTGGAGCATTCTCCAGACCGAACTCGCCCTGACTGCTCCTTAGACACCTGAGAAGACTCTCATGTTTACATCATGAATATCCAAGCAATATATCTCTCTCTCATTTTTCCAAGTTGTCTTAGTACTAGTAGATGAGTTCAAGAAAAGAGAAACAGATTTTTCTCTACTGTAATAATCGGAGTACATCATTCAACAGAGCAGCTTGGGAAACCTTCTAGCCACCACCAGTCACTTTCCCAGGTATGGACGATGAGGATATCAAGTCTGATGAAGACTGCCCCTCCCTGACCCCTCTTCTAAAACCAATTCCTCTCCTCATGTGGAACGTTCTAGCTGAGTACCTCTTATCTGAAATGCTTTGGATCAGAAAAGTTTCAGATTTTGGAATATTTACAGATACAAGGGGAGACCCAAAAAACCCTGGAATTTATTTATAAAAAGATGTTTATGTACTCTTACATGTTTAAACTTGTCACCCTCTTTCCATGTGATGCAATACACCTATCGAGAAGTTTTTCCTGCTGCTCAGAACAGTTGTGAACTCGTCAATTCTGTTCCTCTTTAGTGCTTCTGCCGTTTTTTGTTTCACCTCTGCCACACTGGCAAAACGTTTCCCTTGGAGGACTTTTTTTCATCACTTGAGCCTGCAGTGAGCCTGCAGTGAGCCTGCAGTGAGCTATGATCATACCACTGCACTCCAGCCTGGGTGACAGAGCAAGACCCTGTCTCTTAAAAAAAGGGGGGGGGGGCAGGCACAGTGGCTCACACTTATAAACCCAACACTTTGGGAGGCAGAGATGAGAGGATTGCCTGAGCCCACAGGGTTAGAGATTGGCCTGGGCAACATGGCAAGACCTCATCGCTATAATAAATCAAAAAATTAGCAGGGCAAGATGGTGCATGCCTGTGGTTCCACCTCTTGGAAGGCTGAGGCGGAAGGATCACCTAAGCCCAGCAGGTCGAGGCTGCAGGGGCCGTAAGAGTGCCACTGAACTCCAGCCTGGGTGACAGAGTGAGACTTCAACTCAAAAAAACAAAAACAAACCCTAGTATCAATAGAGGAGTAAACAAAATGCACAGTTTCAAGGAATTCTGAGGGGTATTCTTACTCAGCGGGACTCTGGAGGAGGGGTACGTGCCATCCTAGGACGACACACACTCAGGGACAATAAGCACATACCCTGGACAAGTCCTGAGCAGGGGTTGGAGCCTGGAGCAGGGTCGTGGGTGGCCAACCTGGGACATCACTCCCCTCAGGCTCGACCTGGGCACAGGTGGGCCCAGCCCTGCAGCCATTCCACTAACAAGTCCCGGGTTCCCAGTGAAGAACTTCTTAAGAATTAACTTCTGCCCGCAATCAATCATGCCACGTGTCTCTGACTTTCCAGTTTAGAGAAGCAAGCGGGCCACCATGTCTGGGGCTCATGTTTGTCATTTTAACCTCACTGGTGAAGAGACTTGATGTGGTGAGAAATTCTGCCTTGGGTAGAAGACATCTGAGAGAGAGCAGTGCTACAAGAGGGGCAGGTTTTATTCCAGCTATAGGACTGAAAACCATTTTCAATGCAGCAAACCCACCCTGAAAAGCACAAACTAACCTGTTTTGATACTGGTGTCCACACTGTGAACATGTGAAGTCCCAAGAAAAAGAAAAGAGGAAGAGCTTTTCAACGCGGGGGTCCATTTTCAAGAGCAAAGGAAATGCAAACACGGGGCTTTCCATGTCACCTGCGAAAAGAAAGGGAAGATTGTTGCTCATAATTAAAACAACTGTAAAAGGAAAGCGGAGCTCTGAACCGCTGTCTTCTCACTGTCTTTACAGCATGAATAGATGTGAATACAGGATGAGTAAGTCATTCACAGTTTGGGCGGGGGAAAATTCTAAAGCACTCTTCTAAAAATGTCCAGCAGAAAGATTTAATTATCACCTCAGTCTCTTTCATTTTTCTTGGCGGACATTTATGAAAACCTCTTAAGGCAAAAAACAAGAAAGACTCATACTGTCTTCTCAGATCTTTCCTGCTTTTCTCAGGAAAAAAAAATCCTCAGAAATATAACAGCCTTAGAGTATATTAAAACAAAAATTATGTAAATGGTTTGCTACAGATACAAAAAGAAGTTAACTGGTGAAAACACTATAGATTAATATCAGAATTGGGCAAAACCATTAAAACACCATTTCTATTCCAATTCTCTTGTTCCATTTGGACACAGCATAGCATACAGGGTTAAAGGACTGGCCTTGAATCTGTGGACTCTTCATCTACCACTTTTCTTAACCTTTTCTGTCTAATCCTTTCCTTATCTTAAACATTTCTTTTTGGTAGAGACCAGATCTTGCTCCATTGCCCAAGCTGGTCTCCAACTCCTAGCCTCAAGCAACCTTTCCACCTGGGCCTAAAGCACTAGGATTATAAGTGTGAAACACTGCACAGCCTAATCCCTTCCTTTAACAATCAGATCTCAACAACTTTAGGGCTAGACGAGATCTGGGTTTTGTCAGTAAAAACTGAACAGTGAATGCGGCTTCTAACTCTGAGATCAGCAAGCTAAGTTAAGGAGGAGGATTCATATTCTTCTTACGTTCCTTCCTCCAACTGGTTCCTCTCTCCTTCCTATCCTCAGAGGAACTTAGATGCTCCCTTACTAATTGGGCCCCAGAGAAACTCTAGCTCCTTCCATCCCATTCTCTCCCTTCCCCCAGACACAACCTCACTTTCCTGGTTCATTCTTCCCCAGGGCCTGGAACTCCAGTTGCCTGGACCACAGCCAGGAACAGTTAGCCTGGCAGGACCCCCAAGGCAGACAGTAGGTGTTACTGCCTAAGCACATTCTATAAATGTCCGCAGTTACAAAGGCTATTTTAATAGTCACCTTTGTGGTATAGTCCTACTGCTATTTTTGTATCAAAACATGAAACCAAAACAAATGGTTTTCACAAATAGAAATCAATCTCCTAGAAATGAAAATACACAACACTGTATACGTAAACAGCAGGCAGTACAGCACAACTTTGTAATTAGTCATCAGCCTTTAAAAGCTTACTCTAAGCCAGGCACAGTGGCTCACGCCTGTAATCCCAGCACTTTAGGAGGCGGAGGCAAGAGCATTGCCTGAGCCCAGCAAGTCGAGGCTGTGGTGGCCATGAACATGCCACTGCACTCCAGCCAGGGCAACAGAGTGAGACTGCGCGACTCAAAAAAAAAAAAAAGCTTACTCTATTGTAGCTGCATAGTAATTAGCAAAAAAATGTGCATTGTGAACAATGACAACATACACTCTTCAGGTCTAAAATACAATAAAGTTCTCAAGTGAATCAGAATATCCTGAAAGCTCAAAACACAGTTAAATAAGTTCTACGATTACAGATCATTTCAGCTCATTTATATAGCTCCTAAATTGAACTGAATTATTTTTCCTCTGATTACAAAGTTTACGGATACTAAGTATAAAGAGATCACATTCCAATGCCTAATTTCCACTTGTATAATCCTCTGCCTAGATGAGTTCAGTGGCCTCTGAACTCTGACTCCCCACCCTAACCTCTAACCTCATGTGTGCACTTCCCTAAAATACCCTCACTTGTCATGATACAAGCCTTTCAGTGGCTCTTGGCTAACTAGTTATTCACATTTTTTCCCTTGGTTAATTGCTCATTAAATGCTTTCTGGCCACTTTTCTATCAGGTTGTCTATCTTTTTTTGACTAGCATAAAAGAGTTCTTTATAAGGTATCCTGAATATTATTTCTTTGTTTTATTGTTGCCCCAAAGTTTTAAACCTCAATGTAATCCGATTTACCAATCTTGATAATTTTAAAGAAAATTTCCCCCAGTCTGAAGTGATAGAGATATTCACCTATATTTTCTCCTGATGTTTTATAACTGCCTTTCACATTTAGGACTTTTTTTTTTTTTTTGGAGTTGGAGTCTCACTCTGTCGCCCAGGCAGGAGTGCAGTGGCACACTCAGTCACCGCAGTCTTGACTGGCTGGGTTCTGGCAATCCTTCTGCCTCAGCCTTCCAAGTAGCTGGAACCACAGGCAGGGGCCACCACGCCCAGCTAATTTTTTTGATTGACTGTAGAGATACGGTCTTGCCAAATTATCCAGGCTGGTCTCGAACCCGCGGGCTCAAGCAATCCTCTCACCTCAGCCTCCCCAGGTGCTGGAATTACAGGCACGAGCCACTGCGCCTGGCTGACGTGTAGGTCTTTGAACATGCTGAAGTTTCTTTCTGACGATGGTGTGAAGTGGGAATCCAGGCTTCCCCCAGCACCATGTACCTGACACCTTTCCCTTCTCCATTCATCTGCACCACTGCCTCCACTGCCATAGAAAGCTGCCAAAGGAGGCACTTCTGATCTCGACTCGACACTGTTCGACCTGTGTGGCTTCACACCACACACAATATGCAGAGGAACTGACTCTCTAGACTCACATAAATAAGCAGAAACCACAGCAATATTAGCTTTGGCTTTAAAACAATACAGACACTGAAGGGAAAGAAAACACCAAACTGAAGAGAGTCGGTACCTCTGTGGGGACATAAGGAAAGACTAGGGAACGGTACACAGGGGACTTCAGCTGCACTTAAGATGTTTTATTTCTTAAACTGCAGGGAGGGAGAGCAAAAAAAACAGCGTGTTTTCAAGAACACGGAGAAAATAATAAAGACACTGAATGTAAAATCTTAACTAACATTCGGTTGGCACAGATTCTGCTTCCATGTCTCCAGTACTTGAAAATAAATGTTAATGTTCAGAATGCCAACAAACAGCCTTCAAAGTGCTCTCTGGAACAAGGATTCGGTTTCATTAGTGAGACCTTGAGCTCTGATACTGCACAGATCGCTGTTGAATTGGCAGCACAAACAAGAAGAACCCTGCTACGGAAAGAGCCCCTTGCTTGCCCAACTGCTACGATGACAAAGAATCATCATTTACAAACTCCTTCTCAGTTACACAGAAGGCCACGCCCAAGGTGGTGATGGGAGCACAAGATGCAACCTCAGTCCAGACAGAATTCTCAGGAACAGGAAGGGCAGTGGGATCAGACTGGGGAGAAACCATTCTTTCAACTGGAACCTGGTATAGAGATCCTGAGCCACACAGCTCAGGTAACCGGAGGAGGGAGATGACACATGCTCAACGCAGCATGAAAGCCTGAAGTCTCGTCACTAGGGACCTTATGGAAAAGGCTTCTGACATGAGTATTCGCCCAACAGATCAGTGGTTAGTCGAGCCATGGAAGGAGCCCTGTGAAGGTGTTGAGGGTGGCAGAACTGTCCCATGTCGTGATCATGGTGATGGTTACACAACTTCCCACATTTACAAAGGGCTTTACTATACGTAAATTATATTTCGATTAAAAGTAAACAGAAGATTGATTCCATCTAAGATCCTACCTGATGATACATTACAACAGTTCTTTAGACCTAGCAGAGGCAATGCCAGAGATCTGACACACGGAAAATCAGATTATTATAAGAACAGAGTAAACTTTAATATTTAGGAGTCCAGGACAAAGTGGATGTAAAACTATTATATTTCTTTTTTTTTTTTTTGAGTTGGAGTCTCACTCTGTCACCCAGGCTGGAGTGCAGTGGCACGCGCATGGCCACTGCAGCCTCGACCTGCTGGGCTCAGGCGATCCTCACACCTCAGTCTTCCAAGTAGCTGGAACTACAGGCGGGCGCCACCACACCCAGTTAATTTTTTTGTTGTTAGAAATGAGTTCTCACCGAATTGCCCAGGTTGGTCTCGAACCCCTAGACCCCTAGGCGATCCTTGGCTTCCCAAAGTGCTGAGATTACAGGCTTGAGCTATCACATCTGGCCAACTATTATATTCCAATTTTTAAAACTGTATTTTTTAAAAAGTAGACTAGTGGGTAGACCATGGACCAAGGAAATAAGGCAAAAGCTCTCTGGTGTGTCCAGAAGATGCCATGCTTCCCAATAGAATAGTTTTGTGTCTTATGAAATGAATGCCACTCACTGAGAGGAAAGCTAGAAGGCCCTGATTACGTTCCATAATTTAACATGGGTAATTACTTACATGGACTACCATACTCTGCTACTATAACATTAACAGAAGAGTTAATATAAGGGATACAAGGAAAACAGAAAAAGGCAGCACTCTCAAAAATAAAATAAAATGAAGTAAGATAACTAACTTCACCAGCAGCTCCTTTGCCTAATACAAAAAAATTTCAAAAGAACTGGACAGACAGACTCCCTTGCTCCACTCGGCTCCCACAGGCCAAAAGCCAATTCACAGAGGACAAAGCAGGTCCCACTCCTGTTCGCTCTCTGTGAAGGTGAGGAAGCTTTCCCCGAAGCTTATCAATGTATTTCTCTTAACATCCCACTAGCCAAAACTGTACCACGTGACCATTCCTGTACCAATCACTGGTGGGGAAGCAGAATCACTATGGCCGGTTTAGATCAGTGACTCTCAACCCTCTCCACACATGAGAATCATGCAGGGACTTCTCGCAATTACTGATGACCTGAGCCCCTTCTCTGAGATTCTGATTTAACTAATCTGGCCTGGGCCCCTGGCACTGGCATGTATTTAAAACTTCCCTAGGTGCTTTTTAGTGCACAGTCGAGGGAGAAAATGCACTTGTCTACTAGGGAAGGTACACTCCCTAGGTATTGTCCTGAGTCTGAGAACTGCATCCACTTGAGAGGGCGGCTACCAGCCTGCATATTTACAGGGCATGGTTCTGCACAACCATCACTTCACCAGCAGTAGACTCCCAGCATAAACCACCCCGATTCTCCCTCGCAAGAATATGATCACCCAAAGGAATAAAGCAATATGATGTTTCCTTATGATGTACCTATTTCTACGTGGAAGATGAGCAATGCAGTTCAGTTACACCAGTTACTTACCTAGGGAGCACCTGAGCTGGGGCTGAAGCCTAATAAAAATCTCATCTCTGACTTCATTCAGACAGGCTTCTATTTCTGCAAAGACTTCTGAAGTAGGTTTTTCGCAATTTCCATCTAAAAAAAATTAGAACATTATCAATTCATCAACACCTTTCCACAGAAAACTGAGACATTAACAAGAATGAAAGTTATCATCAATACATTTCACAGAGACAAAAAGCAAAACAAAATTTCCTTAATTCTTCCTCCTCTGTAGTATACCATATATTCCCCGAATATGTGTTATCAACACAGAATCATGGGTGCTTTCACCTCAGTGAAAGCCGTTCTCACCCAAATCATCAAAGGCCTCATAAAACAGCTAACCTTTCGGATACTGGGCCCACCTCAAAAAAAGCTGAAGCTAGCCCCCATATGTGCAATGATTACTTATGCCAGAAATGGTATCTGATCAGCTATTCCTGCTTGCGTAACTTTTATTGAACTTAGCTAGGTCATAAGAACAGATACGTTTATAAGGGGTCTCAATAAAGTTATAATTATTTCCAAAACTAACATCTGGTGTATTTCCCTCCGATGTTTTTTTGAGGGGTAAGGTGGAGTCTCCAGTGGCATCATCACCATGTTTCCTCAATAGCATATCTGGTCTGCCCACTTTGACAGGCTAATTATTATTACACTGTGACTGAAACATAGCTTTTTTGTGTGTATGTGGCAGGATTTTGTTGTCCAGGCTGGTCCCCTGAGGAGCTGGGACTACAAGTGTGTGCCACCACGCCCAGCTGAAACATAGTTTTATTCATTACTCCTCTATTGCTAGACATTTGTTTCTTTTTTCACGAATATAAATACCATCACGATGACAAATATCTTTGGGCACATATCTACCCATGTTTTCGGTCACTTCTTTGGGGCAAAAGTCCTCAACATGAAATTACTATGACAAGAAACGATCCAAGATTAATAAGAAAATTATTCCAAATAAAAACCTCCATATGCATCTGACTCTACTTACTCTTAAGCTACAAATGGATCTTTTCACTCAAATCTCTCATAAATAATTCATGAGGCCCGATCATACTTTGCTTATCTGTTTCACTAATGAAAATATCTGGATTCTCCCATCATATAAGTCATCATTAATCAGAATTTGTATTTGATCATGACAAAAAAAACCCCTTACGATGCAAAGTAATGCAGCTCTAACAAATATAATTAAGAATTAGGTTATAGAAACTACAATTATTCCACAGAAAAAATAATATAAGATAAAAATGTAAAATTAAAATTAGTTCCCATATTGAATTATTGCTCATCTATAACAACCAACTGACAACTGTCACTAGGGCTCCTATAATTTAGACAAAATAAACAGAAGAAAAGTCAAGGGAAAAAGCACGTGAGAAACAGAATTTTAAAAACTGCAACTGACTGACACATTCAAAAAAATTCAGTCTCAAAAAAACTAAAACCGAAACAAACTATTTCTTGCCTAACAAAATCATAACTTTTAAAATGTTTATACCCAAAGGTGGTTAGAATGCACGGAGATATTTTCTTCTACACAGTGGAAGTAGAATTAGAATTGTGTACTGGTACAACCCTTCTGGAAAACCATGGAGTAAGACCCTTAATATTCAATGTACAGAGCCCATATAAAAGGTTGTATGACCTTTTAGTGCATTAATGAATAAGAAAATATCTACAATGTCAAGTGAAGAAAGCTTGGTATGATGTCACATCTGTCAAAAAATATATGCACAAGTAAGATCAGGAAAAAAAAATAAACCAAGAAACTTCAAAAGACGTCAATAAAGGCAAGGATTCTTGTCCTAGCAGACAGCAAAACTTTAAAAAAAACCCACTAAGTAAAATAGTGTTGGCATAGGGACAGACATCGTGACCAAGAGAACAAAGCTGAGAGTTAAGGAACAGCTGCACATATAACATATGGAATGGTGACACATGACAGAGGTGACATAGTAAATCAACTGAGGAAAAAAAATGAAGCCAGAAAAACTGGCTGCACAAATGGAAAAAAAGAATGGATCTTCACACAATACATAAATAGTAACTCCAGCTAAATTAAGAATTCTAATGTCAGAAGCAACTTTATAATTTTTATAATTTTTCAGTGAAAATATAAGTGAATGATTTTCTGAACTTAGACAGCTGTCTAGAAAACGTCACAAACATGTTACTAGCTCCAAAAGAAAAGCTAAAACTTCCCTGTAAATCAAGAAAGCTTTTAAAAAGTGAAAACAGAAGCTGAAAATTGGACAGAGGTTCAGCAACATTTACCTGACGTAAAAATAGCAACAAGGAAAAATGAAAACTCATACAAATCAGTAAGAACATGACAACCAACAGAACAAGAAGGGATGTGACACAAAAAGGCATTTCACAGAAGAGGGAACAGGTATGATCAATACACACGGAGTGCGACAGCCTCTTTAACATCTGGGAAAGGCAGATCAAAATCACAGCCCATGTTATACCACTCAAACAGTAAAAATCTCCAAGTGTGAAAATAACAAGGGGGACTACATGGACGGAAAGAACTCTTGTATGTAGTTCATCGGAGTATTGATTGGTGCAATCACTTTGGAAAACAACAGTCATTATGTTGTAAATCTGGACTTACAGTCTACAATTTGGCATTCCATTTTTGAAAAAATTATTATCGTATTATTATTTTTGAGTCAAGGTCTCACTCTGTCGCTCAGGTTAGAGTGCGGTGGCACAATCTCAGCTCACCACAGCCTTCCCTCCTGGGCTAAAGCAATCCTTCCGTCTCAGCCTCCTGAGTAATTGGGACTACACGTGTGTGCCACCATGCATGGCTGTTTGATTTTTGTAGAGATGAGGTCTCACTATGTTGCCTAGGCTGGTCTTGAACTCTGGGCTCAAGCAATCTTCCCGCCTCAGCCTCCACTCCTTTAGCTAATATAGAAGGGAAATTTTTGTTGTACTGTGCCTCAGGAGAACTGCCCAAGAATGGTCACAGCAGCAGTAATCATAGTTGCAAAAAGTAATCTAACTGTCCACGGATGGATGGATGAGTAAACATGTTGGTATATTTACAAAACAGAAATATTAAATATCAAAAAAAGTCAATGAAGCACAACTGCAAGCAGCATCAACAACCCTTCTATAAAGTTCAAAACAAACTAAATTAGGCAACACAGTAGTCTCTCCTTATCTGCAGTTTTGCTTCCTCAAGCTTTAGTTGCCTAAAGTCAGCCACAGTCTGTAAATATTAAATGGAAAATTCCAGAAATTTTAACTTTTGTGCCATCCGAAGGAGGGTGGTAAAACCTCCTGCTGTTCACCTAGGATGTGAACCCTCCTCTGTCCAGCGAATGCACGATGTCTACACTCCTTGCCCGTGAGTCACTTAGTAGCTGCCCTCCTGGTGATCAGATCTACTGCCGTGGTGCTGCAAGGCCTGTGCTCAAGTCGCCCTGATTTGACCTTACAATGGCCCCAAAGCTCAAGAATACTGATGATGGCCAACCATTAGAATATGCTGAAGAGAAGCCGTCAAGAGCTTCCTGGAAGTGGAAAGGTAGAAGTCCTCAACTCCTGCTGAGGTTGCTAAGATCTAAGAATAAATGAAATGGTGATGGAAAAAAAAAATCCATGCCACTTTTACATCTCAAATTAAAAAGTTGCCACCTATGAAAAAGGCAGTGACTCTGTGGGTGGAAGAGGTACAGAAACGTGTTCCAACCGATAGCAATGTGTTGAGCCAGATTTCATTTACTCTTAATTAAGCCTTTTAGTAAGTACATACATATAGGAAAACATAGTATATGCAAGAGTCAATACTATCTGTCCCCCGTTATCCGAGGGGGACACCTTCCAAGATCCTCAGTGGATGCCTAAAACCTTGGATAGTACTGAATCCTACATACGCTATGTTTTTTTCTATTCATACATACACATGGTCAGGTTTAATTTTTAAATTAGGCACGGTAAAAAACTAATGACTATTAATAAAACAGAACAATTAGGCTAGGCATGGTGGCCCACGCCTGAAATTCCAGCACTTTGGGAGCCTGATGTGGGAGGACTGCTTGAGCATAGGAGTTCAAGACCAGCCTGGGCAACAAAGCAAGACCCTGCCTCTACAAAAATCTAAAAATTAGCTAGGCTTGGTGGCACACACCTGTCCTCCCAGCTACACAGGAGGCTGAGGTGGAAGGACTGCCTTGAGCCCAGGCGATCGAGGCTGCAGTGAGCTGTGATCATGCCTCTGCTCTCCAGCCTGGGTAATAGAGTGAGATCCCCAACACAAAAAAAGAAAAAAAGATGGAACAATTTTAACAATATGTTGTAATAAAAGTCATGTGGATGTGGTGTCTCTCTCAAGTAATCAGCCACTTTCAGACCTTAAGATGATCTCAGGTTAAACGAAACCAAGGGAAAGTGTGCATAAGAGGGACCCAAGTATGCAGGGTTATTTAGACAAACATATGCAAGATGAACAAAGAGAGGGAATGCTAAAACCCTTCAGGGTCATGGTTCCTCTGGAGTCTGTGAGAGGGGACGGGATGAGGAACATGCAGGGAAATGGCAGTTCCGGAGAACATTTTAACTCATCACAGCCTGGATAATCTATTTCACAGAAAATCAAGCAAAAAATAAATCCCTTATTTTGATGAGAGATTTGCGGGGTTGTGGGATCATAGGTGATTTTTATTTACTTTTTCATTTCAGTTTAAAAACTTCGATTTTACTTGGATGGACCATATGGCGACCACTAATACCCTGACAGGCTAAGACGGACACAACCACAGCCTCTTTATCCTGTGCTGTTAACTTTTGAAGAAGACTGCCCCGAGATGATGTAAGTGGCGTCATCTTGAGTGGCTCCCTGCTCCACTACCGACGGTGTCTTTCCCATGTGCTATGAGACAAAACGCAGCATTACCGTCTCTAAGAATTAAGAGAAAGAAAATGTGCGTGCCCACCTCCAACTGCACTCTGCTGCTCAGCCGGCAGCAGCTGATTTGCTTGATGGTATTTTGTAAACAGCCGCCAGAACACAGACTCCTCCTTGGCGCCCTGCTCCATCACAGTGGTCCTCACCCCTTCCAAGTGCACCAAGGCCGACAGGATACAGTCCAGCCAACAGAGCGCGTGGGCGTTTCTCCACTGGACACACACAGTGTGGCGAAGGGAGGGCCGTGTGCTCTCCAATGGCGTTTCCAGCTCGGGTGTGCGCCCCTCCCTCTGAAGGCAAGGCCCCCCAGTTCCAGAGACATCCCCCGTGGCAGGAGCTTGTCCAGTAGCCATGACAACAAGGCGAGCTTCCACAATCTCACTCCGCCCCAAGGACTCCACTGTCCTAACTGGGTTCTCTTGACCACCACCATCAGGTGAGTCTGATGAGGTTTCATCATCAACTTCTCCGTCATGTTTGCTGTTCAAAATGTGTTCACCATCAATAACGGTGTGATTTCTAGACTTTTTGGAATATGCTAAGAGAAGGGAATCTTCAGAGCTGGCTTCCAAGGTCTTTCTTTTTTTAGGCTTATTTGCAGAGTGACACTCTTTCCAATCAAGAGAAATCAGGTTATTAAGTGATTTAGAGCCCAAAGGATAGATGCACTGGAAAGAAAAAAAATAAAATGATAAAAACGACACAAATTCAAATAAGCCCAAGTTTTACATTATAGTTTCTATGTCATGAAAACTATGTATAAAATTTTAGCATTAATTTGACACAAGTGGGTGTATTTATCCACCTAAATCTGGAGGAAGTAGAGACAACTATTTAATCCAAAAATTGGCCCTCTAAAGAATAATTTTTTACAGTCAATTTAAAGAGTCAAGGGTTTAATCTGAGTTACATGAGGTTAAGCTAACAAGAAAAACATACATATTTCTGCTGTAGTAAAAAAACTGAACACTAAAAATATGAAACTCTAAAAACATGGAAAGCATGTAATACTAAAATATAAATATTTTTAGCACTAAACATATGTTTAGTTCATAACACTAAAAATATGAATATGAAAAGCATTTTCATATTAAAACATAGCATGGGCCAGGCATGGTGGTTCACGCCTGTAATCCCAGCACTTTGGGAGGCCATGGGGGGAGGACTGCTTGAGCCCAGGAGCTTGAGACCAGCCTAAGCAACATAGTAAAACCTCATCTCTAAAAATATTTTTTTAAAAAATTAGCTGGGTGTGGTGGCACACATCTGGAGTCCCAGTTACTTGGGAGGCTGAGGTAGAAAGACTGAGACCAGGAGGTTGTGGCTACCGTGAGCTATGATCATGCCACTGCACTCCAGCCTTGCTACAGAGTGAGACCCTGATTCAAGAAAAAGTAATTGATTAATTTAAAAGGCACATGGAGAAATTTCTGTTTCCTAAACTTTGAAATTGAATATGAATCTGAGAGCACTGCTGTTTTGCATCCTTACTGGGTTTAGAGGCAAGCTGGCCATGTTTTAATGACCTCATCAAATCTTACTGTCCACTAACATAATTTAGCCAAATATCAAAAATGTAAACAAATCACTAGAAGTATCAGCGAGTCTTTCCCAAATTTGAATGCTACCAGAATATTATATAAGACAAATCTGAGAAAGCTATACACTAACTTCCTTCATTTAAAACATGCCTTCTTTTTTTAGCTGGTCATATTGGTACACACTTGAAATCCCAGCCACCTGGGAGGCTGAGGCAGAAGGACTCTTGGGCCCATGAATTCGAAGCTGCAGTGACCTATATCACACCACTGCACTCCAACCTGGGTGACAGAGCAGGACTGTCTCTAAAATATATACATATACATAGGTATGCATATAAGCATATGCTTCTTCTACCCAAGTATGGTAGACTGCCTCCAGTGACCTACAGCATGTGGCAATCTTGTCCACTATAGCCAGTCCCCACACCACATGTGTGGTCACACTGGCCATATGACCAGCTCTGGCAGGACATTAGCACGTATGACGCTAATGGGCCCACTGGCTAAATGGGCATCTTGGGGCCCTTCTTCCAGAACACTCCTGTTCAGTCCCAGCTACCATACTGTGAAGAGCCCAAGCAGTCTCATCAAGAGACCCTCAGGAAAAGAACTAAGACCCCTGCTGATGCTGGACTCCCAGCAAGCAGCAGGCACCAACAGCCAGTCATGTGGACACTTCAGTGCCCCAGCCCAGTGCAGAATGGCCTTGCCAACCCACATAATCATGAGATAACTAGTGAAGCCATGGCAATGTATAAGCCACTAAGTTTCGAGGCGATTCGTTTCACAGCCACAGATAACTAAAATGCACTAACTCCCCCCCGCCCACAGCGTCTTCTACACAACTGAACAACGCACTCATAATACTGCACTTATTATAAAATTCTTTTGCACAAATGGACAAGTTCCCGTTTCTTCTGTTACAATTCGATGCACAGTAAGTCACCATCAACTAACAACCCAACCATCAACTTTACACCGTGCGATTACTTCCTAAATCCTAATGTCAGAAAACTGGAGACATTTTATAATCAATAGCAGCAATGGTGTACTCAAAGCATCATAAAGAGGTACCTACCAAAAAAACCAAACTGAAAGGATCTCAATGAGATAAGTGCACACCCACACTCACTGCAGCGTTACTTACAATGCCCCAAAAGAGGAAGCAACTCAAAGTCTGCAGACAGGTGAATGGATTAAAAACAAAATACAGGGCCGGGCATACTGGCACATGCCTATGATCCCAACACTTTGGGAGGCCAAGGCAGGAGGACTATCTAAGGCCAGGAGCTTGAAGCCAGCCTCAGCAACAGGAAGATCCCATCTCTGAAAACAATTTTAAAAATTGGCTAGGCGTGGCTTGCAACTGTAGTCCTAGCTACTAAGGAGGCTGAGGCAGGAGGATTGCTTTAGCCTAAGAGTTGGGGGTTACAGTGAGCTATGATGACACCACTGCACTCCAGCCTGGGCAAGAACATAAGATCCTATCTTAAAAAAAAAAAAAAGAAAGGAAATACAGTGTATACATACAATGAAATATTATTCATCCTTAAAAACGAAGGGATTCCTGCCACATGCGGTAACAAGGATGAACCTTGAGGACACCACACTAAGTCAGCCAGCCACAGAAAAGATCAATACTGTATGACTCCATTTACAGGAGGAACTTAAGAGCAGTCTGCTCTGTAGAAACAGAAAGTAGAATGGTGGATGCCAGGAGCTGGGGAAGGGAAAATAGAAAGTTGTTGTTTAATGGGTAGAGTTTCAGTTTTGTAAGATGAAAAAAAGTTCCAGAGCTCTGTTGCACAACAATGGGAATACAGTGAATGCTCCTAAATTCCACAGTTAAAAATGGCTAACATGATCAATTGTATATGTTTTATCACAATTTACAAATTAAAAAATTTTTTTAGAAAGAAAGAAAAAAAAAATCAACAAAGAAACAAACCAAAAAACCAAAAAACCCCAAACCCAGCAACAAAAACCCTTCAACAATCTCAAGCAGTCCAGATCCCGGTGTGAACATCCTGCCTGTACCCGGATGTAACTAACACCAACAATAAGCCATAAGGGGCCTGTGGATGAAAAACTTGGTGCCCTGGACAGCTTCCACCCACTTTGTAAAGGTCCTTGCTGACTTTCCTTCATGTCATCTGTGCTCCCACCATAGGGCCCACCTAAAGGATCATTTGACCCTGCCCTAATTACTCCCTTTTATGAATTAATGCTTCCAGATTTTCAATTTATCTCATTATATTTGTTTTTATTCACAGTGAGCATGTATCATTTTTATAACCAAAATAAAGCTTTTAACTCGTCTTCAAAAAAAGTAACAAAAATACACACAAAGCATTAATTTTCTAGCCAAGCACTACCATCTAATATCATTTAAAAGCAAATGCTGGAAAAAACCCAATGCCGTCTCTTTCACTGATTTTTGAAACATCTTAAATAAATAAATTCCTGATTTTATTTCTGTAAAATACAAATATGGAAAACATACCATGTCATCTTCAATCTGGGTAACTAATTATCTGCAAGGTCTGGCCAAAGACAAGTTATTAAAATAAATTATACTCATTTTACAAATGAAGAAAGAAAATAAGTGTTTGCTTTAGTGACTTAACACTAATGACTTAAAAAACCTTCATTATAAATTTTGTGGTTGTTTATTCTTTTTTAAAGGAACTGCAGCTGGGCATAGTGGCTCACGTCTATAATCCCAGGACTTTGGGAGGCTGAGGTGAGAGGACTGCCTGAGCCCAGGGGTTCAAAACCAACCTGGGCAACATGGTGAGACCTCATCTCTACAATAAAACAAGAAATCAGCCAGAAAAAATGAAAGAAAAGAACAAGTTAAGAAAAAAAATTAGCCAGGCACGGTGGCACACACCTGAGGTTCCAGCTACTTGCAAGGCTGAGGCCAAAGGATCACCTGATTCCAGCAGGTTGGGGCTGCAGTAGCCATGATGGTGCCACGACACTCCAGCCTGGGTGACAATGAGACTCTGAATCAAAAACAAAAAACAAAAAACCACTGAATAATGAAATACTCCAAATGAACCCTGAATAATGGACTATTCCAAAAAGAAGGACAAGTTAAAACTTTCAATCTTTGAAAACACTTGAGAGTTTCAATTGGGAATCAATTTTGAACCACAGACCTGAAGATTAGTGTTTTTGACAAATCAAGCAGCATTTTAACATAAAATCTGCAATCTGATTCAAAGGGGTTTTCCAAGTTATTCTGTGTAATTTAGATCGCAGCAGACTCCAAACTGCGTGTCCTCACCTTCCCTGACTCCCAGCAGCATCTGACAGCAACGCCATCCTCTTCCCCTCCTTTCCCGCTTCCGGACAGTGCACACTCCTGCCTGCTTTCCCTCCTGCCTCATGTCCTGGCCTCAGACTCCTCCGTGGTCCCAGCCCATCTCCTCAGCCTCTTAATGCCAGCGTGTCTGGACTCACTCAACCCCTGGACCTCTTCCTCCACTTACGGTGCAGTCACCTACATGCTCACGACTACCAAATCTGAATCGTCAATCTCTCAACTCTATCCCATGCCAGATGCAGATGAACTCAAAAATCCCTGGAACTTATTAAAAACTGTGTATTTATTCTTTCCTTTTTTTGTGTCAGAGTCTGACATTCAGGCTGGAGTGCAGTGGCACACTCACAGTCACTGCAGCCTCCATCTTCTGGGCTCAGCCGGTCCTTCCACCTCAGCCTTCCAAGTAGCTGGAACCACAGGCATTTGCCACCACCCCAGCTAATCTTTTTGATTTATTGTGGAGACGAGGTCTTGCCAAGTTGCCCAGGCTGGTCTCGAACCCCTGGGCTCAAGAAAATCTTCTCGTCCCTGCCTCCCAAAGTGCTGGGATTATAGGCATGAGCCACCACGCCTGGCTGTGTATTTATTCTTGTATGCTTAAACCTCCAAAGTACTCTCTGCTTGATGCAATACACCTATCGGGACTCATTTTCCACAAGTTTTTGAGCTTGTCTGTTTGATGCCATTTGGTGCTTCTGCCGCTTTTTGTTTTACCTCTTCCACATGGGCAAAATGATTCCCTTGGAGGACTTTTTGGATCCAGGGGGGAAAAAAATGTCACTGAGGGTAAGATTGAGTGAATAGGGACGGTGGGCATGGGGGTCAAGTCAGTTTTGGTCAAAAACAGATGAACACTCAGTGCAGTGTGGGCAGGTGCACTTGGAAATCATCCACCATGAAATGTGCAAACACGTTGAAATTGACCAAAAAAAATTCACCGAAGCCAAACGCAGCCTCTCACAACAATGCTTGCTGGTGCTGACAGGTTCCTAGAACACGTACCTAGTGAGGGAAGCCTGGGCTACAAAGGGCTTGCCCTCCAGAAGACAATCCTGGGTTTGAGTCCCCCCTCCTAGATGCTACTGTTTACTCCACACACCCACTGATGTTAGACAGACATCTCGAGCTCACATGGTCCTGACCTCCTAATCTTGCTCCTTAAAGGGATTGCAGTTCGGTAACTGGTAACTCCACTCCTCCAACTGCTCAGATGGAACATCTTAGAATCATCCTTGATTCCTCTTTCCAACCCTGTCTCCTCATCTTTCAGCAAATCCTGTGGCATTTCACCTTCAAAGTATAAACAGAATCCAACCACGACTCGTCACCTCTGCCCCTGGAATACTAGTCCTCCAACTAGTCCAAAGGGGAAATACAGACGTTTTTCTTCTCTCCTCGGCAACCTGAGTAACAGAGAGAAGCTCTCTGGAAGAAAATGACACCTACATGGGAAGAACGCATTACAAGGGAAATACATGTGCCGCAGTAAACTATGCATGTATTCAGGGAGGTAAAGAAAGACAAACATTGTATAACTGTTCTGAGATTATTAATAATTATCCTTGGCTACAAGGGTCAGTGACAAGGGTGATGCCAGTGTTCGAGGCTGGCTAGGCTTGCTGGGCAGGTGACCTGACCTAAGTATTTTCCGTCTAAGAATGTAACGGCCTTCATGTAAGGCTGCAGTTTTGCAGTGTTTTGTGATAGTTTTTGTTATCAGGCCTAAGAATCCTCTCTTCCTAGCTTCCTTGGCTCTATTTATCAGGTTTTATATGTGTGTGTGTGTGTGTGTATGTGTATGTTTTGACATAAGTGACTCCCACTTTGATTGTGACAACTTTCACATAGTCTACCCTCAGAGTCGCCTTCTGTGACCAGGTGTGGGGGAAGTTTCCTGACACCAAGCCACTCTCCAGTGGGTACCAACCAAGTATCCTATACTTCAGTTCAATTTTGACACTATCTACCTGGAGACAGACACAGGCTGAGGGCTCACGAGACTGCCTCCACTTCAGATGCCAAACCCAAGTCCAAGCCACCTATTTAACTGGCTACAAACTGGGGTTCTCACTCTCCCTCCGTGGGTACCATTTGCAAGGATAAGCCACAGAACTCAAACACTCATGTTTACTGGTTTATCCTAGAGGATATTATGAAGGATACAGATGAAGAGAAGGACAGGGTAAGGTATGGGGGGAGAGAAGGGGGTGGGACCTCCCACACCCTGGAAGCTCATCAAATCCAAATCTTGGCGTTTTGATAAAGCTTGCTCTCCAACCCGCAATTCCTTCCCTGGAGGGGAAGGGGAAGGGCTCAAGGTTGTAACCCTGGACTTCTCTAACCACTAGGTCTTTCTGGGGACTGACCTCAGTTAAAGCCATCTAGGGCTCCACCTTATGTCACCTCATTAGTATAAACCCTCCTGTTAGCAAAGGGACTCATTATGAACAAAAGACTCTCACCACTCAGGAAATGCCAAGAGTTTTAGCTCTATGGCAGGAACTCAGGCTGAGGACCAGATATATTTCTTATTACATCACACCTCGTTTCCCTGTGTCAGGTCTTGCCCATGACATACATTTTCTACAAGCCAGCACAGTACCCCTTTTCGCACTTAAGTCAGACGATGCCATTCCTCCGCCAGCGCCAGCCACAGCTCCTCATGTCACCCAGCATAAAGGTCAGAGACCCTGCGATGCCCGTAAGAGCCTGCGTGGTCCAGCTCCTTTATTCTTTTGACCTGCCTTCTCTCCATCACTCTGCCCGAAGCTGCACCAACATGACAGACCGCCTTCATTCCCTCAGGGCTTTCCTGGAGCTTGCTTCTACCCCTGCCTGAAAGGCTCACTCCTCCTCAGCTCAGTTAGGCCTTAGTTCAAATTTCACTTTCTCAAGGAAGCTTTCGCCTCAGGGCTCTGTTTAAAACTGCAAACGCCTCCTCCCCCACATTCCAGTCCCCACTACTTAACTTCTCCACAGCACTTTTCATCAGTACCACAAAAACACACACTTTATTCGGTTATTGTCTTTCCCACTCTAGAAGGCAACTTCCTTAAAATCAGGACATTTTGATTCATTATGGTACCCTAGCACTGTGAGTGGAAGAGTGCCAACATAGCAGCACTCAGAAAAAAGTACTGGATAAAGCCATGAAGAAAAATGTTTATATTTGCAGACATGCCAGGGATAGTTTTTCTTCAAATGATACCCAGTAAAAGCATCTATCATTTACCATGTGGTTTAGTCTGTATTTTCCAAACTTCAATGATCATCAGACTCATCCTCAAAGGCTACAAAACTACTAAATTCGGGGCCAATTCTGTGCCTCTGAGGGTGAGGCCCAGAAAGTTTTTAAAAGCACTCCCAGTGCTGTTGATGACAGGTTAGCTGGATTAAACAGATCTGAAGTTAGAAGATGGCATTCCAAACATTCTCTGAAGCTATTTTCTTACTCATAAAACAGGAACACCTATCTTGCAAAGTGTTGAAAATTAAATATGTATAAGACAGGCTTGTGAACTGTTAAGTGCAATAAAATGCAGAACATTACAGAATTTCATGAACTCCCATACAGAAGTTGTACTGGTGAGTACAAATTACCATATTAATTCTAAAAGGTATTTAGACTTTAATTTTTGTTTTGTTTTGTTTTGCTTTGTTTTTAGAGACAGGGTCTCGCTCTGTTACCCAGGTTGGAGTGTAGGGGTACAATCATACCTCTATAACCTTTAATTCCTAGGCTCAAGCAATCCTCCTGCCTCAGTTTCTAGAGTAATTAGAATTATAGGTGTGAGCCACCACACCCAGTAACTTTTAAAATTAATTTTGTAGAGATGGGGTCTCACTATGTTGCCCAGGCTGGTCTCAAACTCCTATCCTCAAGCAATTTTCCCATCTTGACTTCCAAAGTGCTGGAATTAGAGGCAAGAGCCACCATGCGTGGCCTATGTAGAGCTTTTCAAAGCTTTAAGTACATACTGTTTAGGTGACAGCATACATATTGGTTTGGGTCTAACCAATCTCCAAAACACTCTCCCATACATTAGAGATTAGTAACTTTTCCAGTGATACAAAGAAAGTTAAACCAAAGAGATGAAAGAGAAACTACTATATGTTAACAGTTAGCAAGGACCCCCCTCCCACCAAGTTATTAAAACAAAAATCAATCTTGAAATGTACTTTCTCTTCTCATAAGTCAAATGGCAATAAAAATAAACATCTTTATGCAAAAACTCAGAAAACCAAATGGAAAATAACATATATTTATATAAAATTGTATACCAGACAGATTTAAAAACTCATTGCTTGTATATTACAAATCTAGCCTAGAAAATACAAAATGAGTAAAAATTCAAACAGTGACAAAAAGAGCAAAAGGCCAAAGCCGGTACACAACACAAGCTTAGTACTTTACCTTCAAATCCTCACACAAAAAGACAGATTCTTGAAAACTAATTCGGTAAGTCTTTAAGGCATTCAACTTTCCCTTCTCTCTACAAGCAGGGCAATAGCCATCTGATGCAACTTTAGCTGAGTCATAATTCTAAAAGAGAAATAAAGCAAATTAGAATACAGACATTCCTAGAATATATCAAATTATAACAAGTTAAATGGAAAGGTAACCAGAAAAAATTATAATTTTCAACTAGAAGCATCCTGACAAAATATTTTAGACATGGCAAACAAAAGAAATGTACACAAGCCTTTAAATACAGCTATTATTTCAAAAATAATGTTATAGTTTTAAATATTAAATTTATGTGTTACAAATAGCATCAATTTTACTTGCAAGAAAAAATTAACATCGACTGCCAGGAAGAATGCATATTCTATATTTTCAAAGAGTAGTAAACCATAAGGTCTATGTTTTATTTTTATTTTCACGTATCAATAAAACAGAGAAATAAACACATTAAAACAATCTTTCGCCATTGCCATAAGATTTCCGTGGAAGATACAGTTTTTTAGAAGTTAATTGGTAACATTAAAATCGAATTTAAGTCTCAAAAATACGAGAAAAGTAAAACAACTTTGCACTGAGGCAAAACATAAGTTCACTAACTTTTCCCAAATACCCCACCATGTGGAGTGAAGATATCCCTATATCAGTCCCTGGTCCAATCACTGGCAAACCATTTCCAATCTTCGGGGAATCCATCATTCCGAGTCATTGGCTAATTTATGTCACTTGAAACATGTCAATATCACTAAGGATTTTTTCAATGAACCCTGGAAAAAAAAAGTCAATAGACAATTAAATAAAAATCCTATTTACTCTAAAAAAGAGCTATGCTATTTTATAAGATGTTTACATTAAGTATAGTCTGAGGGCTACATGTCCTAGAATAAACATATTCTAAAATTATGATATTGAAGTGAAAACAATACCTATTTTATAAATATAGCAAATTTATGGGCGTCTAGACGGCAGAGATGGACAATAGGACCAGTTTTTGCAGCAGACTCATTTGTGAACAAAAGTAAACAAAACTTGGGGTAGCCACTATTTAAAGCAAACTATATGGACCAGAGTTTGGAAACGTAAGGTTTTATAGCCTATACATAATTTAAAACAAATGCACTGGCATATAATGAGAAAGAATCAAAAAAAAATCCCAGAACCATCGTGCCATTATTTGACAAGGACAAAGGAGTCAGTGAACTGCAAAGCCCACACATCCCTATAATTTTCAACTGCCAAGAATATTTCACCAGGCGGGGAAAATGCTAGTTTTTAAAAGCTGCCAATAAATTACTATTTTCTGTTATTTATAAGCGATCTGTAGCAGAACAAAAGCATAAACACTGTCATAGTACATATTCCATGTGACAAGCTCGTTTTGAGGATAGTCCCACAGACAGCCACACTCGGTAGAGTCAAAGTCACTAATATGAGAGACCAGAGCTCAGTGTAAGGAAAAAATAAGTGCTAAGAGCAATTTAAATATGGATTTACAAGGCAGGGAAACCAGATACAGGAGATAATTAGACCAAGGTGAATTTCACTTAGCAGAAATGTTGTGAGTAATTCCAAGCATAAGTCTTTCCCAAGTCTAAGAATTCATGTCTACAACACCATCTCCTGGGAATTAATGGCTTACGGATTCGCTTTACAAACTAGTTATGCTGTTCTGTTCCAGCTACAAAAACTTCGCAAACCTTTCAAGTCAAGAAAGCGTTTCAAAAATAAAGACGCTTTTCAAAAAAAAAAAAAAATCAGTGAATCTCAATTTCCTATTCCTGAGTAAATAACCATAAGACAGGGTTGCTCAACTGTACAGCACTACAGACATTCTGGACCAAATAATTCTTTGTAAAGGTTATCCTATGCAATATAGAACATTTAGCAGCACCACTGACCTCTCTAGCCACCAGATGTGACAGCCAAGAATGTCTCCAGATATCACCAAATGTCCCCGGGAGGCAAAATCACCCCACTGAAAACGGCTGGTGTTAACTTTTTCATCTTAGGCTCCTCACAGACAAGTTACTACCTTTAGCTACTTCTAATTATAATCCATTTACAAAAGGAGACTCCTTTCCCACGTAGGAAAGAGTCTAACTTCCAGAGTGCCAGAGCAGGACAAGGCATGGACTTCGCATCTGCAGCTCTGGGCCCAGGAATTTACTTGTACAACTAGTTTCTTCTAAGAATAAAATGAGACAATGCATGTAAAAAGCTTAAGTCTTGATAGATACTAAACTAAAGCCACTATCTGATGCCAATTTCATACTTCGCTCCACGTAGAATCTGTAGCACACCTTCTATCGTTATGAAATGTTTGGTGGTGGGATCAGGAGAGCAGACCTGAAGGCTCACAAGAGAAACTGGCAGCTACCTGGAATAAATTTTTTCTGATGAAATCTCCACCTGCCCAAGGGAATCTAGAAAACTTTTCTACTTTTCTCATTCGCTCTCTCAATTACAAAAGCAAAACAAAAGGAGCCTTCCTATCTGCTCTCTTGATCCCACCACCAAACATTTCCATGGGAAAAGCAGGGAGGGTGGTGGCTGAAATCCCAAACGCACAGAATCCCCCTCAAAGACGATTCATTTTAAAAAATAGCAGAGGTCCCTGAGTCCATATGCAGCTCATAAAAAAATACCACGGGTGGGCTTCTCCAGGTCTTCTTTCAAACAGAATTTGCCTCTGTCCTATATACAAAATCCTGGGTTGGGTCTTAAAACTTAATTTGTCCCCTAATCACTGCACTTCCTCCCTCCAAAAACTACCTGCTCCTTCTCCCTGTATCGCACCTACATTTTGGCATCTCTCTCCTTCCAAACACAAAGCCTAGAAAGCTCGAATCGCTCTCCACTGTTCCATTTCTCCCTCCTTCACCCAATAAGCCCCCAGTTCTCTGGAAAGGACTCCAATCCCCACCTCTCTTTCCTACCCATCCCACTGCACAGCACTGTCAAAGCGATGCTCCTATCAGGTGAGCCTGCGTCTGTCACTGCCCCGTTTAACATCCAGCCTGATGAGAGAAAAGTCCGTCCCAAGAGTCGGTCCGAAAGGCAGCCCTGCGGCCTGGAGCCCACTGCACTGAGACCAGCCCGGCTTTCCAGGCCTCTCCTCCTGCACTTCACCCCTGGCTGTTCCTCTTACATCCCTCTCGACGCCTCTGTGAGCCACGGATGACCCCGCCGCCCTCGGGGGAACGATCAGCCCAGTGACAGCACCACGGATGCTTCAGGCCGGCCCTGGGGATGGCGAAAGGTAGACGATCAAGCCCAAGTCACAGCCCCGCGTGCAGAACGGGGACGCCCAGGGCAGCGCGGGCTGGACGCAGGGCCTAGTGGTAGCCAGCCCTGCAGACCCAGGCCACGACGGCCGGGAGGCCCGGGGTCGGGGTCGCGGTCGGGGTCGGCTGTCGACGCCCGGTCCTGCCTGGGCATCACACCCCGCCGTCCCGAATCGCAGACGGGCAGGACACAGCCAGGTGAGTTTCGAGCCCCATCCTGGGCAGCCCGAGGGGAGGGGGCGCGAGGTCCGCTGACCCTTGACCCCATCGCCACGGCCCTCGGCCGACGAACACAAACTCTGGTTTCTCTTCAGCGTTTACCTCTCTGCGTCCGAAAGCGTGTGTGGACCCCCAACT